TTTTTTAAAGTTTTGTTGTTGTTGTTGTTGTTTTAATTGGAGTGGTGAGGGGGAGCTTGTAACAGAGTTGGCAGCAGTTGACCGCATAGGGAAGTATGCTGTGACAGTAATTCCATACTTGGGCCATGGCACCCTGCCTGCGGGAAGTGCGGATTGACACAAGGACTCTCTTACTGAATCAGTGTTTGTTTTTGCTTTCTTTTTTTTTTTTTTGGCTTGATTTTGTTTACAGTTTCCCAGCCAAGATTTGATGTACTCTGGAGACTTTAAAACTAAAAAGCACAAGTGGCTCTGCTTCCTTTTGAGATGAGGATTTAAAACAAAAACAACAAACCAAACAAATAAGTGTAGGTGTGTATTTCCAGCCCTACTCTTATTGGATTCACTCAAAAGAGATTTCACATTGAGTTTGCCCTGCAGGGTTCCCTTGGGGCTGGGGTCCATGGGGGCAGCTATCTTCTCCCAGCTGAGCTCACCAGGAGCTCCAAATTAATTTTTCTCTGCATCACGTCAGCCCTGTGAAATGTTTACTCTGTCCTTTAGCAGTGTCCAAAGGCAGCTCTGCAGGAAGCATGTATGCACTGGGAAGGGGCTTGCTCCGCAACTGTCCTCACTGTCTTTCTGACAGCAAAGCGTTGCCCAATGCATCAAAACCCCAGGCAATGGGAAGGGTGCCTTGGGGAGTGGGATGAGCCCCAGCAGTGGCAGACTGCAGGATTGGGATGGCCGGGTGGAGGATGGAGTGCTCAGCTCCCATTTCCTGGAGAAACCTCCCTCTTCTGGGAGGGAGCTGGTCGGCAGATGGCTGAGCTGCAGCGCTGGGCTCTCTGGGGGTGTATAATTTCTCCGACTGTTCTGGACGCTGATACCCATGTTGGGGGGAGCCCCTCCTTAGACTTGCTCGTGCCGTCTTTATGCCCTGATTTTTTTGCAGCTGCTGCTAAAGATCACAGGCAACTTGAGCCAAAGCCTCGCTAGTACTCTTGTGGATTGTCTGCAGTTATTTCTCCCCTTTGACACTGATGTGCTAGGTCATGTCCTTCCCTGTGCCCCAGATTTCTTTTTATGTGCACAGAGGTATGATTAAAATTTTCAACCACAGGTACAATTCAGCTTGACCTCTTTGCTAATCATTGCAAAAAAAGGTAGGGACCTCTGACAACAGCCCAGGGGGTTCAGAGCACAGTCAGGGATGAAAAATTACATTGGGCTCATGAGAGAAATCAGCTGCATCCACTTGGGACATATCGTGTAGATAGTCATGTATTATACCACCACTTCCCCACTACAGCTATCCAAATTGCTTTGCATGTTGGGTGGCAGCTTCAGAGCAGAGATATTATAACAAGTGAGGGAAACTGCCTTGGTTTTCTGAAATATTAAAGGTGCTGCAGCCAGTGAAGTTGGGATGGGGAAGAAGACTTACTGTAGGAAGGAAGAAGTTTCACAGTCTCAGAGTGCTCTAAGGTAATTAACTCTTCTGACCTTTTGCAGGTGATTTCTACAACAGTTTTCTTTTGCTAATGAACTTATGGGAGAAGCTTTTGCTGTGTGGCAGTGGAAGGGAGAAGGGTGAGAAATGGTGACAATCACTGTGTGCCATGGGCTCTCTCTTAAACAGTTTCTAGGAGCCCCAGCTTACTTTCAGTGAAGAGCTGATTTTCCTTTGGATACTTGTCCTGAAACAGAATGTGTCTGCGCATCGATTCACTCCCACATGTTATTTTTAGAGAAAAGAGAGGACGTTTGTCACTTAACATTGCTTCTGTTGGTTGAGTGCTGTTACAAGTCTCAGTGATGCTGAGAAGCTTGGAAGAAGAGGTATCTCTATCTCAACTCAGTGATCTCCCTGCCTTCTTCTTGCCTACAAGAAAGGTTTTTGGAGATTCTCAACTGCAGCAGAGACGCTCTAGGACTGCCAAACATGCAGATGTGTCTCTGTCTTATTTAGAGCTGTAAAGAAAGGTATTTGACAACTGCATCCAGGCCGCTCCTCTCCAGGACCTTGTCTCTCTGATTCTTGGGTTCTGATTTTATAGCTACTGCTAAATGATTAGTCTGAAGCATTTATGTCTTAATGGGGAAGAACTCCAAGGTGTGAGGTCTCACAGTTGGCTATGCTCTCTGTAGATTTTCTCGTTCAATCCAAGGGATCTGTTTCAGAACCTTTTTTCAAAGGGAGATTTAGTGGAGACCAGCCAAGTGGAGACCATAGGTGTGGCAGATAGGTTGAAGACGAGCACCCCATGTTTGTCTGGAGAAAAGAAGCCAGACCTCTTGAAGAGGGAAAATATAAATTGGGTAAGATTGAGAGTGATTGGGAATGCCTTGGGACATCTGGTTCCCATCTCTGGTTCTCATTTCTGTCCTTATTCAAAGCGACAAATGCACAGTAGCCGTCTTTGAAAATTGATGGGGGTAGGAACTCAGAGTACTCTTGAGAACAGAGCTTGTAATGTATTGGACACTGAGTGGATGGCGGAAATTTCTAGTGTTAGCCACTTATGTGAAAGTCAAACTCAAACCAAATTGGGTAAGTCAACAGAGCCAGTCCCCAGAGAGAATGAGAGTTGCATAGGCAAAGATTTCAGATGATCTTTTGGAATTGCAGGGCTTCCTGGATCAGTTTTCTTTGAGAGTAACTAAAATGGTAAAGCAAAATCAATGAGCTCATGTGAGTAGTAAGAGTATCTGTCCCTCTTTTTTGGTGGAAGAAAAAATCAGCCAGAAGGCTAACAGGTCAAAATTCTGTTCCCTTTGTTGCTTCTTCCAGGCATCCTATGTCACAACTAGGATCCTGGGAAAAATGTGGAGGTTTTTTGGTCAGTTTTACTGTAAATAGACAGATCATCTATATCAAAGGTAATGAAATAATCTTATGCCTTGAACTCAGATGCTTTTGGAAAGCTTAAATGCTTCCACAATGGACTTAACATCTGAATATAGGTGTTGGTCTGCATTTAGAAGAGGATATTCTAGTCACTGCTTCTATTCTGAAAGCTTGAGTTGAATCTTTTTCTTCTTCTTTGTTTTTTTGTTTGTTTGTTTGTTTTGTTTTTTAATACATAGATGTATTTAAAATGTATGTATTTTTTAAATACATACATATATATCTGATGGCTTTTGTAAATATCAAGTATTTAAACTTTGTGTGATCAAAGAGCACCCTCAAACACAAAAAAGGCTATAAAGTTGAATCTAGTACCACACTTCTTGCCAAGTTGAAGTCATTGCTGAAAGTTGGGTTGGAGAATAATGAGGAAGACATTGTGGGAATGCACAGCTACTGAAGGTAAATGCATCATGCTTGAGTATTTCAGAGAAAAAGCATACTTTCAGTATTTTGTATACTATAGTTAGTACTCGAGACAGAAATCACTTCACAGAGCAGTTCTTCATTGTGTTAACTAAACATCATACGTGTAGGGAACTTCCCAAGTTGCATGTGTTTGACTGCTGATATTAGTGAGGCAAAACAATTACACTCAGATTGGAAAGACCAGTGATCTGCTTGTGTCATGCAGAGGAAACAACCTCTAGGCTGCAGAAGGCATTAGATCTGGGTATATTCTAGCATCTGTTGTTAAATACAACCAGGAGACTGATAAAACTCATCTGGTGAAAGGAGTTGGCTCTGAGAGGTCAGCTTCCATTTGACGTCAGAAAGAGGCAGGCTGGTGGGGAGCAATCTGCAGGCTGGTGAGGAGCAAAACATCAATTTCTCTCCATCTGAGGAGGAAGGGAAACACTGCCAGGTGGAATCATGTGGCATCTGTTTCCTTGTTCTTGCAGTCATTGTCCCATCATGGTTGTTGTAAAGAAGTCCAGTCTTTACCAAGTGCGTTAAGTCGCCCTGTCTAATAGGTAACTTCTTATTGACTTCTAACAGTCTTTCACTTGGATCCTGCTCCTCTGTCTCGTGCTTAAAAATAATGGCTTTTGTAGTAGTTAGAAATTTCTCGGGCAAATGCAATTCTGTAATGCTGGCACAGTTCCATTAATCATATAGAGCAATGAGTTTGTGCCAAAAACCTATCAAGTTGAGCTGCCTTTTTGAGAGCTGGTGGGAGTGTGTACCCAGTGGTGTTCTTGCCGGCATATGGACTTCCCGTGTGTGCAGGAATGGCCGGGGTGCGGGAGGGGGAGATCCCCTTCTCTATGCTCAGGACTCAATGCTTGCAGACTAAGAAAGACTGGAAAGTCTCGGATGTCAAATTGGTATAGATAGATCTCGAGAAAATGTTGTATGTAGGGGCACATGGCCTCACCAGCCGTTTTTTTCATACCCTCCCCTTAAATTTTCAGCAGTCAGAATAAGCTCTCCTTAAAATATAGCCAGGAGCTCTTTTAGCTTTAAGTTCCACCAGCAGTCTGTGTCAGATAGGAACATTTATCCTCAACAGATGAGGGTAAGAAATGCATTTCCTTGGATTATGTGGCGAGCTGCTGGCAAAGAAAGGGGGATTTAATGTGGCCCAGCTAGCAAATGAGGAAGATCATTCTAGGGGTAGTGTTTAAGAAGAACTCAAATGTTCAATTTGATCATCTGGCAGACTAGGGAAGAGAATGCAGTGATCTGAACCCTCACTCTGAAAGCACACTTTACCCCTGTTGGGAGCAAGTATGCTTTGCTGCACGACAGGTCCTGTGTGTTGGCTGGGCCCTGTGGGTGTACTCCAGAGCAACTGGAAGAGTTGGATGGGTGGGAAAAGGAAGCACCTTGGAGTGCAAGGGAGAAGAGAAGAGGGGCCACAACAGGAATATAGGAGGTATACGGTGGTGAAGTGGAGAGGAAATAGTGGTGGTGGAGACGGTCAGCTACTAAAGTTTCAAGCCACTGAACCAGTGCATAGAAAACTATTGAAGGGGCAGAGAGAGGAGCTTGGCTTAGCGATGGCAGATATGAGGAGCAAGTGGCAAGGTGAAGAGCTGTTTGATTGTTCCAGGTGTTTCTGGCATGGCAAACTACATTATGTGTGGGTGTTTGTTTCCTTGGTTAGATCCCAGACATTTCACAGCTACCTGGAGGACATCATCAACTACCGCTGGGAGCTGGAGGAAGGGAAACCCAACCCCTTGCGAGAGTCCACCTTCCAGGAGCTACCACTGCGCACCCGAGTCGAGATCCTGCACCGCCTCTGTGACTACCGGCTCGATGCAGATGATGTCTTTGACCTCCTCAAGGTACGCTGGGCAGTGGGAATGTGGGGACAGAGGAAATGGCCTGGCTGTGGGCCAGATTAGGGAATCTTTTTGGGAAGGATATTTTGAGGCCAGACTCTTGGTGGCAGTGCTATGGGTCAGCAGTTCCACATCTTGTTCCCCAGCTCTCACCCTGCCGAGGATCCAAGTCAATGACGTAGGACTACTCCTGAGGCTCTTGCTCTATGGGGATGTGCTTGTAACATAAAAGTCACCAAGCAAGTTGGCTTCATTAGCTACTCTTTCTGAGATGACTGAATTTGGAGATGCTCCAACTGCAGTGGCGGGGCTGGGCAAGCTGGGGCTGTGTTGCTGAGGGATGGTGTGAGATGAAAGGATAGGACTGAAGTGCATTGGGGGATGGGGGAAGGGTGGTGAAGAGGGGGAGGGAGCTTCTCAAGGCTGTGCATGGCTGTCGCCAGCACTAATTAGACCTTCGCTGTCAGGAGCACCAGAGATGAAATGTTAAAACGAGAGAGGCCATTCAAATTAGAGATGCCAATCTCAATCCCTCCCTGGACGGAGAGCGAACGTCGCCTTCCCCCCAGGAGTAACATTTTCCCAGATCGACCCGGAGGAGCAGCTGTACTGCTGTTGTGGCATGGTGGGAAGGAGGGAGGTGTTTGCGGAGGGGTGTCATCATGTTTTGTGTGACAGTGTGGCTGCTTTTCAACTTGTCACCGTCTGGCGGGGGGCTCCCCGTGGGTGCAGGGCTTGGACGCAGACAGCCTCCGTGTGGAGCCGCTGGGTGAAGACAGCAGCGGGGCTCTGTACTGGTATTTCTATGGCACACGGATGTACAAGGAGGACCCAGTGCAGGCGAAAACCAACGGAGAGCTGGCTCCAGACAGGTAACGGATACTCAAATGCCCCTATGCCCAGGGCGTGGTGGGAGGGGGACAGCGCAGCCAGCCTGGCCGGAGGGGGATCCGCTTGACTGCTGTTGTCACGGGAGGGGGTGGCTGGGAATGCAGGGCTGCAGCAGCACGGGGCAAGCACGAAGTTGCCAAGCAGACTGCGAGCTGTCCTGTGTGGCACAATGTGCCGGAGCCAGCCTGCAGCCTTTGTGGCACCAGCAGAGCCTGCTGCTGAGCGATGCCGCCCGCCCCACCACATTCCTTGCTGGCTGCCCCGCGCTGTGCCGGCGGCTCCCAGAGCAAGCTCTCAGCAAGGGGGAAACCCTCATCTTCTTTTCCTCTCCGTCCTGTGGCTGCTCTGATTTAATCCCTCCTTTGCTTTGGTTCCTCACAGCTGTTCCAATATCCCTGCCTTTCTCTGTCCCCGCCAGCCACAGTTCCCGTGCTCAGCAAATATTTCATGGTGTTTTTGCCATTCTGCAGGGGATGTGGGGGACAGACAAATACTCCAAACGTTCCTGGGAAAACAGGCAAGAGACGAGGGCGACCCCCAAAGCGGAAAAAACTACTGGAGGAAAATTTGCTGAGGTATGGAAAGGTTCCTGCAAGAGATGTGGGATGCATGTGTTCCCAGAGGAAAGTCTCTCTGATACTTCTTGCAATTAATAATATAATGTGCTTCTGGGGTTCCTCTGGTAAGTATGTATATGTCATGCAACCATAATTTCAGTGCATCTCTGAAGTGAAGCAAGCTCAGGCTTGGTGGATGCTTTGATCACTTTCCAAAGAAAATTCTGACTGAGCTGGAAGCCAAGCTTGGTGAAACACTGGGTATCGCTCTTCCAGCTGCCTCACTTCTAATGCAGTTCCTCTGTGCAGTGTTAGGGGATATGCTCTTGATAAGGAGTACATTGACTCACTGCGCAGTGCTTGAAGCCAAAATCTTAGCCACTTGAGTCCGTACACATTTTGGGGTACTTCCCTTGAGTATTGAAATACTGCCCTGCATCCCTCACTTCTTCAAATTTTTCAAAGCTGTCGTAAATGTATATATGTGTAGATATGTATGTGTGTGTCCATAAACATATGTATTTAAAAAGAGTAGGTTTTTTTCTGTGGTTTTGCTCTGCATTGAATCATTGCTGCAACCTCATTCTTCTCTTCAGAAGCAGTGTTTCAGTGATGTGAAGTAATGCATTTATTGTATAACTCCTTCTCTTTCTTTTTGGTAGGGAGAAGGCAGAAGAGAACTTGCTAATCCGTGAGACTCAGATAAGAAATGGTAAAGAGATTTTTGTGGGGTCACAGTTGATATGATCAGCTAACACAGCTTGTAAATTATCAAAGCCTGTGGAGATGCCTTTCTTGGGAAAGGGAGAGTCTGTCTGTCAGTGGTCTGTCTAAGTCTGGAAGGAAGGGTTAGCATTACAGGCTGCCTTGCAGCTGGGAGCCTGAGCACCTGACTGCTTCCTATCTTATTGTGGATTAGCTTGGGATGAAGAGATGTAACTTATTGGGTTACATGAGGCTTTAGGGGCCTACCTTCTCATTCAAGTTGATGGAAACGGGCTGTGAATGGCCCTTTGCCTGTCCAGGGGTGAGCTGAATGCAAGCCCCTGTTTGTAGCAAGCACATTTTTTCTTTCATGCCACATGCACGGACTGGGAAGAGAGCGAGGTCCCAGAGCGAGGTCGGTGATGCCAAGACAGGGGAGGACCTCCCTGATTCTCCTCACCTCTCCCTCCTGGGGGCTGTTGGTGACTGAGCTCAGTGCTCTTAAGTGCTGACTGGGAGATACCTACCTAAGGGTTAATGAGGCAAGCAGAAAAAGAGAGTTGGCAACATCATGTGCAACTGAGTCTGAGGGGGCCTGGGCTCATTTGTCATACATGAGAATCCCTAGGCTTCCACATAACTCACAGGCTCAGCCTGCCTATTCCACCAGAATAAAAGGCAACTGTGGCATTGTCTTACCATGCCTCATTCCCTTCTGCTTTTGTGCTCAGATTTCCTGGCTGCTGCTCTGGAGTCAAGAGACAGAGCTGAAGCTACATGCATGAGACACTGTGGGTTTTATCAGATCATTGTTTTCTGGCAAATTGTGCCACTTTAGCTGCGGAGTAATCTTCTGGTGGCACAAAGCAGTGCATTGGTCCTGGCTGCTTTTGAAGCCAATCGGCCACAGGCAGCTGGCAAGGGAAGGGAAATAGAGGGGGCAGACTCAGGGGCAGCACGCAAGTAAGCCCCAGTAGGGTTGGCTGCAATAGCTTGAGGTATTACAGTCTTCAGTCCTCCTCCGCCTCCTTTGGCTCAAGGAGACAGCATCACAAAGCCAGGGTGATGGAAAGTAGTGTGAAGTTGCTCCTTTGCCATCCCAGTTACATGAACGTGAGCTGCAGCTGATGGTGAGTTCAGCTGTGTGCTGGCCTGTGACCTGGAGCTGCCATGGAGTTGAGGTGTGTGACCAAGGGCAGGGGATCAGGGGGAGGCTACAGCTCCCCAGCCTTCCTGGGGGAACCTGATTGATAGCTTGCATATGGGAGCTGCTGACAGTTCAAAACCACATAGGGACCAAGGTCAGGTTCAGAGAGTAAGAGGCTCTGGTTTTTGCATATTTTTATTTTTTCATTGTTAATCTTTTGAAAACGCAGTGAGAAGCTGCATGACATCTTATGATGGGGCGGCAACTGTTGCTTTTTTTCCAGTAGCCAGTCATTAGCCTGGGTTTTCTTGAAAGCTCCTCAGCCCAAAAGGATTTGAGCCAATCCTTCCCCTCCCCAAAAGCAGTCCACCAACTCTGCCTAGAGAGCATCCTTGGGCAAAAACATGCAAGTTGCAACCCATGAGGCTTCTCTGCTCTGAGTAAACATTTGTGCAGCAGGAACCGCGTTGCCTCTTTCCAGGTGGGTGTTCCAACCACTGTGTGAGAGCCTTTCCTTCACCATTAATATTCAAATGTTTCACACAAAGCAGAACGGTCCCGAATGTTTTGGTAGTTGGGACATGCTTCAGAGCGGTGGGAGATCTGCTTCAGATCTGACGCTGGATCAAGCAGGGATGGGATGTGAACTTCTGCAACTTCCCCCTCATCTGGCAGCCCGATGAACCCCGTCCTTCACTTCCTCTTCAGTTCTTTCAAGTGCCTGCAAACAAAACGTTTCATTTGGGTAGAATGGGAGGTTTCATTCACCGCAGCAAAGGTTTGCAGCACTAAAAAAAAAATTTAAAAAAATGTTGGCTTATTTCAAATAACATTCATTTCCAGTGTTTTTATTCTGCTGCCAGACTAAATCAAGCATTTGCATTACTCTATGTCCTGCTCTGGCTGACAGCCTCCGTTACCAGAAACAAATTAAATCCTTTCCTCTGGTATGTCAGAACTGAAACTGGAGAGTGCCACGCTACCAGTACTTCTTCACCTGTGTCATTCCCCTGTCTTGGCATCACTTGCAGTGTCACTAGGGGAGGCAACAGTACTTCCAGTGGGGCAAGAGTTTTGGGTCTACAGCAGTGACTTTTTGTGCTCATTGATGGTGCTTACACTGCTAGAGCATGTTTCCCTTAGCAGTGACCCTGAACAGTGTCTTTTGCTCTTCCCAAGCCCTGAGAGTAGGAGAAGAGAAGGGGTAAAAGTTCTTAGTCATAACTGCTGTGGAGATAACATTCTTGCATGCTGTTGAAGGGTCCCAAGGGCCAGGCCGTGGGACATGGTGGCTGCTGTGCCAGACGGAAGAGGAATGGAGGCAGGTCACCGAGAGCTTCAGAGAGAGGACTTCCCTTAGAGAGCGGCAGCTCTACAAACTCTTGAGTGAAGACTTCCTGCCGGAGATCTGCAACATGATTGCACAGAAGGTGAGGAGGCATAACATCCTGTTTACCTCTGTCTGGCCACTTCCAAGAGCACGGACGTTTGCTGACAGAAGGAGAGCTGACTGTGCAGACAGCATCCCATCCTGCTCCCACCTCCAGACTGCAAGCGCCCCGGATATAGGGGCTGTCTAGCTTATCTACAGGGAGAAAGACTCCCCCTGATGAAATGGCAGGGCTAGAGATCTGATTCATGATTGCACATCAGCATTGGTAGGATGGCTGAAGGGGTTACTGTCTTCAGCTGTGTTCTGTGTCCCTTTCTTGCTAGCAGGGAATCTGTCTGCTTTGAACTGCTGCGATTTACTGCCTGGCTTTTCTATGCAAACTGCCTCTGATTTCACTTTTACTGCAGTTTCTCTGCTGGCTCTACTGCAGGGGCAGTTGCTGCTTTGGCCGTCCTCTTTAAGTCTGCTTGAAATAGTATGTCAGAGCCTTCAGACTCTGATGGGTACTGTCCATTAAAGGAATGTTTTCAGATGGGTCAGAATAGAAGTGGGATCCTTCAGCTGGAAGGCTTTGTAAAACGGGCTCTGCAGTCAGCATGGTACTCTTGGACTGAGTTCAGCGTGTTTGCTACCTTTGTAAAGCTAACAGGGATTTCATGGTCACTTCTCTCCCCCAGAGTTTCTCCTGCCACTGTCACTGATGTGCCCTAATTTCCTCCACTCTCTTTTTCTTTCCCTCAATTCTCAACCCTGTTTCAGGAGAAGCGTCTACAGCGGACAGAGTTTTCTCCCAGGTGGATGTCTGACCATCAGCCCATCAAACCAATCAAGCAGGAGGTGAGGGGGGGTGTGAGGGGGAGGACAACGGAGGGAGGCGAGAGCAGATGCCTCCTGGGGGAAAAAATAAACCACAGCATCGCTATTCAGTGGGAAGGAGCCGTTTGAAAAGTGCTCGTGCTGAAAGAAAGATGGGTGGTAATGCCGGTCAAACGCAGGCTGACACTCAGGGTTTCTATGGCGAGCAGGGAGGTGCTGCCCTCTGGATCGCAGAGGTAACCGGCCTTGCTGCAGACGCTGGTGCAGCTGCATATGGAAATCTGCGCTCAGCCTGGGGAATTCCACTTCAATGAAAGTGCTGGCACATTCGAGGCAGTTCAAAGAAAAGTTGAAGAAGGATGAGAGGGCTGGAAGAACTGGCTTACAAAGGGAAATGACAGAAATTCAGCCAAGGGAAAAACGTGAGGCTGCAAACACATGAGGGTGTAGATAGTGCGGAGAGAGACAAGGACTTGATGCAGCACAGAGCTGAATTAGGGGGAATCAGATGGAAACAAAAATCACAATTTAGGCTGCTTAAAGAAGCGCTTGTCAGACCAGCTCAAGCAGCTCTATCCGTGCCTCCTCACCCTCATCTCCTCCGCCCCGTTGATGGCACGGCACTGCTGCTTGTGTGTGTGTGCAGTGAACCAGACTCAGGAAAACGACTGGAGTTAAATATAACCTTTTTTCTTTGGTTGGGGTTATTTTTAACGTAGATCAGTTTTCCAATTCAGTTCACCATTCAGCTCCCAACAGTCACGTTGGCACAGCCAGGAGCACGGTACGGCAGAGATGGGGGGTCTTTGAACTGGCAACTGCTGCCCAGAGAAATCGGTCAAGCAACACAGGATTAGCTTTGGAGGAAAAAAGTGGCTTGGTTCTATCAGGCTGTGGCATAATCCCTCACTGCAGATGTAATGAAAGCACAGTTATCTGGTGTTTTGTCCCAGAATGCTATCAAATGCTGGGAAATTGAATGGCAGGGAATATTCCACGTATGTCAGTGTTTCCTGCAAAACAAAGGAGAAAGTACAGCTCCCCACAATAAATATGATTACTTAGAATACATAAAGGAAGGAAGAGCCTCTCATCATGCTGCAGATAAAAACCTGCAGAGGGGAAAATAAGACCCTGGTGATGGTCAGTTTGGGGCCAGCATTGCTCTCTGCAAAGCCCCCCATCCAGGAAACGCAGGGCCACGTGTTTGTTCACAGGCAGCAGAAATCCCAGTGGAGAAGGGGAGTGGGAAACACATGGAGCCTGAATGATGCTAATCAGTACCGCAGGTGCTCCAGGTCTGCGGCTGCAGAGGGTTGTTAATTGCTGCCTGTGGGCCAGTGAAACGTTTTCCAGTGAGTGGGGGCCCTCCCAGCTCCTGCCGTGCTGGGGAGCAGGGAGCCAGGCAGCACCAGGGTGGTGAATCTCCAGACAGCGAGGGATGTGGCAGTTGTGTGTGCTGCAGGGAGGGAGGGAATGTGCCAGCATGTCTGATGGTTTGCTGGCTGAGCAAGGGGTGGGCAACAGGCAAACTTTGAGGAGAAAAGCTCAGGTCCCTTGTGGGGGTAACCCCCTCCTCCCAGCTCCACGAAGTGGATGCCGCGTTTGCCCAAGATACAACTGCTCCATAGGCTCCTAATCCTGCGGGGGTTTCTCAACAGGTGGTTCAGATTAGCTCCTCATTAAAGAGTTGCCTGAGCAGCACCCTCATTAGGGCAGTGCTGCAGAAATCAGAGCAGAGAGGGTTTGAAGGGCAAAGCGCTGGGGGCATCTGTGCCTCTGGTTCCTCCTGAAGTCTGATACCCACTGTCTGGAAGCAAAGGAAAAGAGAGAAAACTTGCCCTTTTGGGGTCTGGGGGAGGCAGCAATGTTGTGTCCTGGAGTGCTCTCTGGCGGAGGGAAGGAGGTGGTGATGCCATGGTCACAGATGTGTGGGTTGTTGTTTTCACTTGAGTATTAAGCCAAGAGAAATGCCCTTTTCCACCTTTTCTTTCAAGAAGAAGGCTTACCTTGTGTTAGTTTCTTGTGATTGTCTTGCCAGTAGGTCTGTCACACCTAGTATGAGTTTGGGACCTCCTGTCTAATTTTATTTGGCTTTGTTTTCTCATATATATATTTTTTTTAACTCTGAGATATGAGCCCAGTCAGCTCCAATGGGTGTAAGTGGGGCAGCAGGCAGTAGGTCCCTCTGGAAATGAAGCTATTTCTGCATCTGCAGTGTCTCAAAGAGCCCATCCCAGCATTGCCACTGCTGCTCTACTACTGCAAGATCTACAGGGGAGCACATGCTGTGACTGTGGGCATCTGCTGCAGCCTTAGATACCTTCTAGACTGAGTTTGTCATCCCTTCTCTTATGAGATCTGTTAGGATGGCATCGTCTGCTTTGCCTGACATTGTCCCCCTGCTGTGTGAATGCCACATTTGTGGTGGGTTGATCTGGAATGTGGTGTGGATTCTGTATTGTGCCTTTACAGCTTAGAGTGCTCAATGCACCCAGCAGGCTCAGAGAGGTCCTGGTTTCACCACTGCTACTTGGATGTTGTGTTCATGTTTCTGTAGGTATTGAATGATGGATGCTGTATGCATTTAGTGGAGGAGGAGGTCTTACCTGTGCACCACCTGCTCAAATCAGTGTGGCATGCCAGGCTGGCTTAGGTCTACAGGCTAGAGAACCTAAAGGCTGATGGTCACATCCTCAATTAAATCTTTACTGTGCTGACTTCTGGTGGCTGGTTTCTGCTCTCCTCTTTCTCTTCCTAATGGCTGCAGAACACAAAGGTTTTTTTTTGGTGTTGTTGTTTTGTTTTTTGTTTCTATTATAATTTAAGGATTGGACAAGAAATTTAGAAGAAAACTGTTTCAAGACCGTCAGGATCAGCTGAAAAGATATGTGCAGTGTATGAGTAGAGGATAGGATAGTAGAATGGTTGAGAAAGAGGTGAAAAGAATAGAAAGTGAAAATGTAGGACCTAATTCTGTAAGTTCTTAATCTCTTGTAGTTGATGTACCAGTGTCAGTACTGGGCATCCTGGTGTTTACTTATTGATGGGGAGGTGAAAGCATCTGAGAAATACAGCAGGAATGATTAGGGAGCTGGAAGGATTGCTTTATGCAGAAACATTTAAGCTAGGTACAGAAACACAGAAGTTTTGTGCAAGTGTCTGAGGAAGCCCATAAACACTGGAATGTGGCTGAAGAAGAGGAACATTTATGCCAACACTGAAGAGCGTAATTAGGCATAATTGGATGGAATGAGAGGATGAAAAATTAACTTTGGACTGAAAGTGAGGAGAACGTGGCTAACCTAAACAAGCTGGGGTTCACAGAACAGTTTCCCTAGGAAATTAGTGCAAGCGTTAATTGCTAATAGCTGGCAAAATCTAAAAAGGAGAAGAACATAGGCAGAGTTCCCTGGTGATGAGATCCTGCTGTGAGTTTTGCCTAAAAAGGTCAGCACAGACTAGGTGTTTGTGCTGTCCAGTCTGCCCCTAAATGCAGGCTAAGGTCCTGATATTGTGAAGAATCTCATACTGGAGGCTTCTTTCTGTAGCTGCTTGTGGTAGAAGCATAATTATCTTGATGTATTTCTACTGGGGACATGGAAATAACATGTGATGCTCATTGTGGAGATCTACAAGTGGATACTATAGGGTAGCAGCCTGTAGGAGAAGGAGAGGCAGAGAGGGAATGAATGTGTGGTAAAACAGATAACTTTTCTGGGCATTTACCAAGACACTTGGGGGTTTCTCTTCTAGATAATGAAACAAGAACAAAATAGTAACCATGGTGCCAGATTTTTTTCTGGGGATTATAATAGGCCTGGGGAGGTTGATGGTCTGAGCACCAGCCAGGGAACTCCAGCTGATTGCTAATCCTCAGGAAATGCCTTCTGCCTAAGTGATAGTTGCTGGTTAGTCACTGAAAATGAAGGTGAACAAAGCTATGCACGTTGTTCTTTTCTAGTAGGCATTCCATGCGTATCAGGCACACTTACCTTGATCTTGCATAAGTCAAAGAGTGGTTGACTGATTCATTTGTCGTTTAATTAAATTAAAGCAATAAAGGTTATTCCACACTGTGGTATACATACTTTGCACTTTATTGGAGAAATAGGAGCAGGCAATTCCTGGTCTGGGAAGTGTGCAGTCTTAAGTGGGATCAAACACAGCCTTACAGCCTGCTGGGCATGAGGAGGTAAGGAAGTAGTGCAATAAAGAACCAGGCGTACTTGAATGAGAATGCTGGCCAGGGGACTCAGAAGAAAAAAACCTGCCCAAATAAATGAGCAAGAGCTAGTTTGGGGCAGATTAGCATACAGAAATACAGTTTGAAACACAAGGAGTACCTTGATGTAAGGCCATACTGGTCTCTTTTTCTGTCCCAAGTACTGTGTATTTTATGATAGAGCCAGGTTCAGCAGAGTAGTTTTTACTGCTTGTTCTTGCAGCTCGAGACTCAGTTAATGGAAAGAGTAGAAGGTGTTAAATAGAGATATCAACAGCCAGGATTCTTTGCCCAGAAGGGAAATCCGAAAGATACATCTCTGACGGAGCAGCAGTTTGTCTAACCAATTACTTCTCCTTCCTTTCTCCTTGGGTTGGTAGGGTTTCATTGCTTGACAAGTAACTTTCCTTTACGTGTTGCTTTTCATCTGAGAATTCACATGTACAAATCTTTTTGTAGTTGTTCCAGCGTTCACTGTGCCTAGTACTTGCTCAAAGTAAACCTGCCTCTGCTCAGACCTGAATAAGCCAATGCATTACATTTTTGTTGTGCACTGTTCTGTCACAGGTAAACCCAAATGTGCTCAGTTCAGTGGAGAAGCAGAGGCGCAGAGAGGAAGAAGAGGAGCGCCAAATCCTTATAGCGGTGCAGAAAAGGGAGCAGGAGCAGCTGCTAAAGGAGGAGAGAAAGAGAGAGATGGAGGAGAAGGTCAAAGCTGTGGAAGGTACGTGCAGTGTGAAGCAGAGCTGGGAGATTTCGAAGCTGAGACCAAAGCCTTGAATTAAGATCTACCATTTGCATTCCTCCCCTACCAGGCATGCTAATGGAGATGTCTTTTCTTGGACTTGGCTCAGATAAATTGGTCTGACAGTAGTTTCTTTTTTGCCTCGTCCTCCATCTCTGTGTTGATGACTGTTATCTTATGTGCCCTTCAGTTTTGTCTTCTACCTTTGAGTTATACTCATTTTCTCCCACCACTCATATTGTTCCTCTGCTTCCTCCTTCCATCTTCCTGCTGTGGTCCTCATGTATTTCTCTCTGTGTGCTGGATTAGCTGACTTTACTCTTGCTGAACAGCCATTTGTCCTTTTGGTCTGCTGCATGACGAAAGGACTCCTTTCAGGACAAAATGGAAGGGGATGACATGGGAGTAGCAAGAATAGTAGTTTCATTTTGCTACTGACCTCATCAGCTAGAAAACTTAAGGTGAGAGGACCAGGCTAAACTGAGCACTGGCGAGTGATAACTTCAGTTTTTTTCTGCTCTGCCACAGTGACTGGCTGGGCTGTTGAAGCTCTAGGGAAACACAACGTCTTCATGAAACTGTTCTCATGCTGCATGACAGTATCAGTATTGTGAGTTTTTAAATTGATAAAGAATCAGAAGGGGAAGGGAAAAAAAAAGTTCATGCAAACCCCATAAACTTTCCAAGATTAAACAGTTTGCTACCAGATGTTTGATAGCAGACCAGATGTTATCTAAGAATAGCTTCTTTTACCTGCTTACTTTCTAACCCTTTGAGAATCCAATTACTTACTTGGCCTTCATATATTTCTGGTTGCCAGTCCTGGCTAATCTGGGGCTCTAAATTCAGAGTCATCCAGCTTCCTGATCTGCCACAGACATCTGTTTCACCTTGGCATATTGCATATTCTTTGTGCTTTAATTCTTTACCTGTATAGACAAAATTAATCTTGAAGATCCTGAAGATCTGCAAAGACAAATGTGATATTCAGAGCTGGGCTTGTTTTCTTATAAGCTGTGTCAGTTTTTGGGTAAACACAAGCACTGTGTCATCTGATGTGAATGTACCAGAGCCAGACAAAAAACTGGCATGGGGCTGGTCAGTAAATTGTTTTAAACCATTTTGTATTAATTAGTGCTTTCTTTGACTGGCATACTTTTATTTTTGTTTGAACAGTTTCTTTCAGTTTAGTTCAAACTTTTTCCCCAGTCAGTTTAGGCTGAGTCAAGAGAAGTCCACTTCTAAAGTGATGCAAAAGTTGTTTGGAAAGATTATTTAAATCATTTGTTCAGTTAAATCACGTCAGTGTTTTTCATCCCTAGAAACGGCAGCTTTCCAGGAAAAACTTTGGCTTCTTAACCATCTTTCCTTATTGTCAAGCACCCCCTCCATTAGCATAGCACTGTGGTAGTTCTTATGATGAACAGAAAGTCATTTGAAAATGAAGTCATTTGTTTTGCTTGGCTCAGACTTTTTAAAACTGGACATCCCCTGACTGAGAGTAACAAGGATTTTATTGTGTTTTGCCTTCTTTTGTTAAATCCCAAGCAATTTTGCAAGATCTTCTGTAGAGGGGTGATATGAAACACAGTCTGTGCTCTTTGAGACTTCATCAGCACTTCACCTGGCTCTCGTTTTTGGACTCTGTGCCTGTTTTCAGATGGCTTTCCTCTTTCTAGTCTGGGATTTCACTTCCCCTCACTCCAATACACACCCCATTTAGTGACCCTCCTGCTGGGCCCATCTGGACTTTCCTGACTTTGAGTTAAAGCAGTTTTCTAGATTTCTACCAGAACAGAATGTTAGAGTTTTCCAGTTCTCTTCACAGATGCTGCTCAAACGTTACCTCTCATGTACATGACTTGCTAGCTGTCTGAGGTACATTTTAGGGCATTACTTAGCTTTTGATACTTGATGAGTAGATCTCAACCCATTACAACAATTACGGTGAGCTGTACCTTTAACATGCTGTGTAATCTTCCTGTGCTGCAGGGGCCTGAGCTGTAGCAGGGTAGCACATACCAATTCCTGTCAAGTTTATTGTATTGGGTCCCTGATGGGTACTGATGGATTTCTAAAATCTACGTGACCTTACCTCTTGGTTGCTGTTGCCAGGAAATTCTCCTTTTGCTGCCCAGGTCATTGCCATACATATTTCTCAGCTTGTTCACTTTGGCATCCATAGTAATGCCATCTAAGTGATGTCAGTTTTACCAAAGAAGCATGCGGTATTGAACTGTGCTTGACTCTGCTAATCTCTGCTAACTGTAGTTTGATGTTGGACTTCTTCTCATTACATAGTATAAAAGATGCTGATAGATTCTGTAGGACATCGTAGATGCAAGTCCTGTCCTTTCGTCTTCAGAGCAACCCACAGTCTGGTTATGGGAAATATGGACTTTTTTTCTAACTAGTCTTTGATATATCTGGTCATGGATTTCTCTGTAAGTATCTCCCTTGTAGCTATTTCTGAACAACTATTATCTTGTCAGAATATGCATTAAGATGAAGGACTTGTTCCTCAAGTGAAGCCATGACTTGCAGTGATGCTAATGGTGGTCATGTCAGTGTGTTACTGTGACATCTCTGGTTTCTTCCCAATAGAGAAATCCATTGCGTTTTTTTGATGGGGCACAAGCTATGACTGTCAACTTCTTTTCAGGGAGAAGGACGTTTTCCTCAGTATCTACAGGAAGAACATGTAAACCTTTATATTTAGCACCAGAATGTCTATGGAAGTGGTCACTCTAATGTCAGAGTAAGGACTGTAAGGAAATACAGATAGAGCTATTCTGGAGATGCCCACTTCTAGTTTTCTTGTCTACCTGCTCTCCATCTCAAGCTTTCTTATGGTGGAGTAAGAGAGAATATTTATACCCTTCCACCAGAGCAGGTGCCCCAGCTGTGGCCTGTTTTCTGGAGTGTTTTTTTCTGTATCATCTCTCCTTGAGTATTTTTGCAGAAAGTTCTGCTTAAGCAGAAGGTTGATACAATTGCAGGTGTTTAGCAAGTCAAATGAATTCAGATTTGCTTTAACAAAAAGGAAATGAGGCTCATAAGAGTCCATAAACTATATATTATGAAACAGTCTGTTAGCCAGCTGTCTGGTTGCAAACCACAGATTATATTACTAGTATTGCCTCTTCCTGTCTTTCACCTCTTAAACCAAACCTGTCTCAATGGCCTTCCAGCATGGTGGTTTACTTGCCCAGGCAGTGAAGGCCCACCTGAACAATCTTCCCAAAGCTAGCTCTGGTGATGGAAAATATTATTGACCCCAGCTACTCATTGCTACCCAGATGGGAGAACTTCATTCATCCTTCAGCACTGCTCTTTATCATCCTCAGTGCAAAACCAGCTGCCTTGAGTTCATGTGGCTGAGGAATAATTGCTCCTTCTTGACAGCATGGGATTAGCAGTGAACAGCTGTAGGATGCTAACTTAACAAGCCAACTCTTTCCATTGAACTGATCTGTGCCTCAGTCTGTGCTTTGAACTTCTCTCTTTGTACCACGCCGTCTTCAGGAACTTTTCTGGAGGTTGGCTAAGAGAGCATCTGCATCACAGTATCATGCCAAAATTTTTGATGGCATTGTCAACAAAAACTGAAGAGATGTGTTTGTGGTGCATGGTATTCTATCAGTTCCTCAGCTTCTTTGCTGAAAGAACATTTCAGTGGAGCTCTTGAAAGCCACAGGAGCTGCCTGACTTTTCCCTGCAAGACACTGTTGGCAAGTAGTGCTGAATGGCTTCTTTGCTCATTTTCCCTTCCTGCTGCAGAACGAGCCAGGAGGAGGAAGCTTCGTGAAGAGCGGGCCTGGCTGCTGGCACAGGGGAAGGAGCTCCCACCTGAGCTTTCCCACTTGGATCCCAGTTCCCCTACCAGGGAAGAACGAAGGGCCAAGGATCTGTGAGTATGCAGCTGTGCCTGTAGTACACCTGTGCAGTGGGGCATTTGTAGGGAGGGGAGGAGTGTGATCATTCACAGAAATGAGGAGGGAGAAATGAGGTTGGAGAGCTGCAAGGAATAAGCTGAGAAACATCTGGATTTGTTCCATGCTAGAGGAGTGTTTGTGATGAAGCCTGTTAACATCATGGCACTGCATGTGGTGTGGAAGGGAAGATGAGGTAAAAGGAAATGCCTTGTGTGTCCTAAGTCTGTATTCACTGTTGTTTTGTTGTTTTTTTTTCAATTACAGCTTTGAACTGGATGATGAGTTCACAGCCATGTATAAAGGTTAGTCATCCTGTCCCACTTTTCTTCTTTGAATGACTCCCCTGGGCACGTGTGTCTAACAATTGCCTGTCTTTTGTGACTACCAGTTCTAGATGTGGTAAAGGCTCACAAGGATTCTTGGCCTTTCTTGGAACCTGTTGATGAATCATATGCTCCCAACTACTACCAGATCATTAAGGTAGGGAAGACAATACAGCTTGCCTGGCTGATGCTCTTTGTTGACTGAGGTGCAATTATTTATTTGTGCTTTGAAGTTCTGTGGGCTGCGTTATCCTCAAAGTCAAATTGCAGGGGTTCCTGGGTCTAGGAAATGCATGATGAGAGTCTCTGCTCTGCATGCCTTTCTGTGAAGAAGCTTGTAATTTATGCAACATTGCAAGTCCCACTGCACTCACTGTAACTCAAGGGAAGCTTTGTTGCATTTCAGGCCCCCATGGACATCTCTAGCATGGAGAAGAAGTTGAATGGAGGTCAGTACTGCACCAAGGAAGAATTTGTGGGCGATATGAAGACCATGTTCAGGAACTGTCTTAAGTACAATGGTGAAGGCAGTGGTAAGAGCAGTAAGATGTTAAGTTCATCTATTTGCAGTGCTGAGTCCAAACAAGTATTGATCTTTCCCTACTCACCACAACTGGATTTATGTCTATTTTCTTCCAGGGTATTTTTGAGAGTCTGGAGGAAAGAGTAGGAGCTCCTGAGTAATAAAGCCCAGGGATTAGACAGGTTTTCAGCACAATTGTCATGCTAATTTGTGGGCTGGCACAGTGGGACTCATATGTTGGTAGATAATGAAGATGGAACATACAAAATCTGTTTTGTTTTGTTGTTTTGTTTTTTTGTTTTTTTTGCAAGGTTGTTCCTTTGTGTGCCTGCATATGTGTTTCTGTGCTTCTTTGTCTCTTACTATCTAACATGTATTTTGAAGAGCAGAGGAGTCTGGTCAGTCCTCAATGTTTGCAGAGTAATGCAGAAATCTGAGAAATGAGACTTTGGGATGGAAAATGCATCTTTTTGTTTAGCTTCCTTGGCTATTGAATGAATAACATGAGTTCACAAATGGGAAACTGGGTTTAATTGCCATGCCAATTAAAATTCTGCATGTTGCTTAGGTAAGAAATCAGTTCCCGTATGGTGGGTCATCACTGCAGACTGTCTTCAAATTGGAACTAGTTCGAGCTCTTTAGCTTGTCACTGTGGGCCCCAAGTAAAAGCATTCCTGTGCTGCCGCTGGGAGAGCTTTGTTTCCCAAGGAACTTCTAGGCTACTTCAACAGAAACAACTGGAAAGTTATTTGCTACAAAGGTGTCACTGACACCTCTCACACGTCTTTTTTTATTCTTATCCATTCCAATGAAATGTAGGTGCCCCCTCTGAGCAGAACTGTACCATGGAAATGACACGATTATGACACTGATATTTGTAATAGCTTTTTTGTTGTGGTCAGCAAATGCTTTGAAAGCTGAAAGTGGAGAAAGTGTCTTTGCTGATTTTTCTCTGTCTTGTAGCATACAGCAGAGATTTGAACCAGTCCAAGAAAAGCCTCTAAAGATAATCGGATATCTTTGGAAGTTAACATTTCTTCTCTCAGCACTGCTGGCTAACTGTGCAGGTCACACATCTCTGCAAGCAGAGGTGGTGTCCATCATAATGTAATTCTTGGCACTATTCTGGGACATTAGGTTAATGCTGACTGTGCAAGCTGTGCCGCTAGCGGTACTTTGTCATGCCTGTGTGCCTGTCCTCTGGTGGGGTTACTGAGCAAATCTGATGCTGCACTGCTTATCAAGTTTAAGAACATAAACCAAAGTCAGCTAGATAGAAATGGAAGTCTTTCTCTGAAAGACTTTGTGGAGGTAATTTGGCTGGAAAATAAGAAAAGTCCAGCATTGCTGAACAGTTCTTCTCTAAAAGTCTCTGTCCCTGACATTGCTGGATTTTTTTCGTGGCAGAATATACCAAGATGGCTTACAATTTGGAGAGATGTTTCCACCGAGCAATGATGAAGCACTTCCCTGGGGAAGATGGAGACACGGATGAGGAGTTCTGGATCAGAGAAGACGGGAGGCGGGAGAAGAGGAGCCGGCGGACTGGCCGCTCCAGTGGTGGCAGTGTTTGGACTCGGTCACGAGACTCAGAGGGACCAGGCAAGAGGCAGCAACGCCTGGAAAACGGAGGGAAACCTCCACCGTATCGAGCTACTTCTAGGGCTCCTGCTTCTTCCTCTTCCTCCTCGTCTTCCTCCTTCTCCTCATCCTCTGCAGAGGATCCAAGTGGAAACGCCATGCAGCCTCCTCGAGAAGTGGGCCCTTCCAATGGGAGAGGTTTCCCCCGCTCGCTGCAGTATGGTGGCATGCCCAGCCCTGTGCCACATCCTGGCCAGATGGTAAGGGGTGGTTTCTGATGGTTTTTATCGATCAAGCCTGTGGAGGCAGGAAGGGAAAAGAGAGCAAAATTCTGTGGAATACAGCAAGGATCTTTTCACAGAGATTTGAGGGTCAGAGCTGTGATTTCTCAAACTGAAACATTTTAGCCCTTAAATTTAACCTGAAACAGTTCAGTCTTACCAGGTCTTCATGTAGTTGGTTGAGGAAACTGGACAGAAAATAGTTACTGTTAAGACAGTATGTTGAGGCCAGAAGAGTAGCTACTTCAGTAACTGAAGGCTTTTCCACATTGCTGCCACAGTAGTTAGGAGTGGTCTTGTAACATTCTATGTCAGCAAGTACCCACATATGCTTGGTCAGCCTCAGCTCCCCCACTCCTATTTTCTCTTTGGAGAGGTACTCCATGTGCATGTAAAGTAGTCACGTTTTCTCTTTTAACCTCCAGTTTATGATGCTGAGCAAGCCAGCCTTCTTTTGTCTCAATTGTTTACAGATGCCTGGTAACTTTGTGCCATCTGCGTACTTCTGCATTTCGTGCTTTGAGTATTCATAAAGGCTGTAAACAAAACCACACACAAGGCCACCCTGGGCTGTAGCAGTGACCTCCCTTTAGCCTGATGTTTCTTCTCTGAGGACCACCTGTTCTGCCTGTTCTATGGGCTGCTCCTTACCCATCCTTCACTGTCTTTTCCTTTTTTAAACAGTGATGTCTTGTGGTGCAGTGTGACAGCTGCTCCTCTGATACCAAGATACCCCTCTCTTTTTAGCTAGAAATTAAATAATGTTTTAGGGCCATTCTTGTGATGCAGACAGTGAAAGCCAGTAGGAGAACTGGAGCCAGCTATTCTTGTGAAAGAAATCCAGCACATTCCCTGCCATTCTACTTATGTGCTCCTGTGGTTTGCTCCAAGGAGAGGAACCCTGTCCCCTCCAGTCTTCTTGTTTGCTCCTAAATAGCTGGGAGGTGTGTGAGTGTACCACAGCTTGAGCCTAGGGACACAAAAGAGAGAGAGACTGGGGAACTGTGTCATCTCATGAGAGAGCCTATGGGTTTTTCATGGTATCTACAAAAAGTCCATCTGCTTTCTGTGTGGTTCTTTAGATCTTGACTTGTCCATGCTTGAAGCTGTTCTGCTGCCTTTTTGCATTTCACAAATGGTTTTATTTCTCCCTCCCGCACGTCTCCTCGTCCCCCAGAGACCAGCCGTACCAGGAACGTTTGGACCCCTGCGTGGATCAGATCCAACGAAACTCTATGGCTCACCGCGAGTGCCAGAGCCCCATCCTGGAGACCCGGTTCAACAGCACCAGCACTTTGCCATGCAGGTAAAAACAAACAAACAAATGGAGGAAAAACAAACAAAAAAAACCAACAACAACAAAAAAAAACCACCATAGTTTCTACAAACGCTGCTGTCTGTTTTGGTAGTAATAAAGCAAAGGCGCTTTGCAGATCCCCTCTGCTCCCCTTGGTGCCTCTCTTCAGAACACACCGGTGATGGTGCTTACCCACCTTCCTCCAACTGATACTCAGCCACTCTCTTTCCTTCCCCAGCCTTCCGTGGGACTGAGCGAGCACCGAGGGCACAGGCTGGCCACTCCCGAGAAGCAGGTGTGTGCAGGGCCGACCCACATTGCTGGTCTTGGACCCCGTCCCAGCGCCTTGCAGCTAGGGTGCATGAGTGGACCCCCTCCTGACGCCGTCTACTCAGCAGCGCAGTTCCAGCAGGGATTCCTTCCTCCCAGGCACAACGGGCCTCCAGTGAGGCCGCCAGAAGGTTCCGAGATGCCACCAGGACACATGTACCGACCCTACAAGTACCTGAACCGTGGGCACCCTGCCTTGTGGAATGGCAGCCATGGAGCCAGCGGCCAGAGTGCAGTGGGGCCAGAGGAGAAGGCACCCCTGGGGCCGGCGCCCTCGCTCCAGCCCCGTGCCATCGGCCATATGATGGAGCCCCGGGCCATACGGGCACCTCTGCCTCCCAGCCAGTGGACTGAGCAATCAAACTTTCTACCTCACGGGGTGCCTCCCTCAGGGTATATCAGACCACCTGGGAAAACCGCCAGCCAGAGAATGCCGCAGCCACCAGCCGCTCTTTTTGGGGGACCGCCTCAGGTTCAAAGAGGGTGCCAGGGTGGGGACTCCATGATGGACAGCCCAGAGATGATCGCCATGCAGCAGCTGTCATCCCGTGTGTGCCCGCCAGGTGTGCCTTACCACCCTCGACAGCCACCCCCGCCGCACCTTCCCGGGCCCTTTCCCCAGCTGGCTCACGCTGCCTCCACTGGTGTGCCACCCCCAAAGCCTGTCGTTGGGAATGGGAGCTCACAGGATCAGACCATGGAGCCAGAGAGCAACCAAGGTAACTCCCCATGGCTGACCAGAGGCCACGTAGAAGCTTTTCGACTGTCTTTGCTACTGCCAGGGACTCTGGATGTAGAGGATGCAACCTCATGGGTCCTTCTAGCTGTAGATGTCTCTGTTCGTTGCAGGGAAGTGGGACTAGATGACCTTTAGAGGTCCCTTCCAACTCAAATGATTCTATGTTTTTTGTGCCTATGGGGAGCAAGGAGCTGTTTCCAGTGGATGGGCATTCACAAAGAGTAGCTCTACTGCTCTGAAGTCTTGGTGTACCAACCTTAGTTGTGTTGCTGATGCACGAAGCCTGTATCTGTAGATGTGGTTTTATTCAGATTTGCACCACTAAAGAGGAGGGAAGTTTTTTTTTTTTTTTTTTTTTTCAGACTCAGCAGAGTCCATTTTAAACACTGGCAGAGGCTCAGCAGCAAAAGCGAGTTTTGTTCAAGACAAGAACTACATTACTGATCAAATAGCTGTGGGGCACATCATTTGTATACGTACTTTTTCTTTTATATATTTTATACATTTCCTGCTCCAGCCATCACTGAAGTTTTCCTAAGATTTTTCGTCTTACTGTAGCCTGCCAGAGATCCCCTCCTTGCCAGTTATACCTGCAAGTTATCAGTTTGCCTTTGGGTGCAAATGCAAAGCACAGTCTGTGATGCTTCTTACAGCTCACTTGGATTTAATATAAAAATTGAGTCTGCAAAGAGTTAGGTAAGGAGAGTAAATGTAGTGTGAGTAAATGGTTTAAATACACTTCTTTGAGTGTCTGTCAGTGTGACTTCTCTGAAATGCACATCTGCCTCATGAGCTTAATGTCTCAATATCTTCACAGAGGAGGAGTGCCAGCAAGGCGCTGAGCAGCCATGTCAGTTGAGATGGGATGGCAACGTGTCATATGTGCCACCACAAGTTTCTTTCTAGTGGAATTTCATTCACTCTAGCTGGTAATCTAGAGATCAAAAAAACCTTAAACCTAAAGTAGAGATCAAAAAACCCTAGAGATCAAAAACAAATATTTCATTAATTCTAGCTGGTAAACTAGAGATCAAAAACCTTGTATTTTTATCAATGCCTTGTGTGCCTTAAAGTAAGAGGAAACTCTTTCCTTGTGTGGCATTGCTTAAAACTCATTATCATTTAGCTGTGCTGGATATAGAACAGAGACTGGGAGAGAACACTGGGTGATTTCAGAGCAGAGTGGCCGCATCTTCGAGTTTTTTATGCAGTCTGATAGTGAATAGGACAAGGGGGAATGGCTTTAAATTAAAAGATAGGATACTTAGGTTAAATATTAGGAAATAATTCTTTAGTCGGGGTGGTGAGGCCCTGGCACAGCTGCCCAGAGAAGCTGTGGATGCCCCATCCTTGGAGCTGTTCAAGGCCAGGTTAGATGGGGTCTTGGGCAGCCTGCACTGGTGGGGAGCAGCCAGCCCATGGCAGGGGGTTGGATGATCTATGATCTTTAAGGTCCATTACAACCTCAGCCTTCTTGTGATCTCCAAATCATAGTTGGTTAAAACGTGGCTGTGATTGGCTTCACAGTGCCTTGGTATGTGGCAGTGCTCTTGCCCAACTGCAGGCAAGCAGGGTTTGTGGCCCAGAAAGGGCAATACAACCTGAAATCAAAAAAGCCCCAGCTTTTAGCTCACTCTCATGGGGAACATGCAGTATTTTCTAGTGCAGCCTTTCTATGAGGCAGCCTCTGCATGCCCATCTGTCAGACCAAAGCCATGTGTGCCATGTTACCCTGATGGTGATTTGCTCTCTACAGTGGGGTTGTATCTTAATGGAAATCATAAGGACTCAGTTCACATATGCCATCTTTCCCTGAGAGGTGTGCAACCTCATGAGTAGTATTGAAAAGAGCTCTTTTGAAAGAACAAGCTCTTAAAAGGTTGCCCAGCTTTGCAAAAATGCCCTTTGGGATTTCTGAGGATCTGTGAAAGAAGAGCTTTCCATTGGCTGTGAGAGGAAAGCTGCAGCCCCACAGAGTTCACATTTATCCTCTAGCTGTGCTCTGGCCATGGTGTGAATAGAGTTGAGTAGGGGATGAGGTATTTTAGGCCTTGAAGCACTTTGAAATCTCTGATGGAACCATCTTTGTGGCTTTAGAAAGTCACTCCCCTTCCATTTGCACAGTTCAGCACCTTGGGATACTTTCTCCAACCAAATGTTGAGGATGTGTCAGAGCCACCCCTCAGGTTTTTGCTGTGGTTTTGTGTCAGCAGCCATAGAGAAGAGAAACCCATCATGAATGAGGCTGTTGTTCTCCCTGCCAAAAGTGGGCCCTGGGAGGTTGTTTTGGCATATCTAACTCAGCTGAGAGGAATTATTTTTTGGCAAATCCACTTTGGGTGGGCATGGGTGTGGGTTCAGGAGGGCTGCCTTCCAAAACAAGACCAGCACCTGACATTTACACCCTCTCTTTCCAGTGGAGCCACTGGCCGGCGTGGAGGAGAAGGCTCAGTGCATCGGCATTCCCGACAGGGCCTACGCCAAACTCCTACCTCATCCCAAGCCCCCCCTGCCCATGGAGTGTGCCCGGCGCAACCTGCCCCCAGATGGGGAGGGAGATGGCTCCAGCCTGAAGAGTGATCTGAAGGCCAACCAGAGCAAGGGCACGTGGCCGGCCGAGAGCAGCTACGCCGGCCCAGCTGCCCAGGGGTGCATGAGGGACCTGGCATCCACCCCTGAGCGAGGAGGACCCGTGTCTGAAAACGGGGCAGCGGGCGAAGGGCCGGCAGAGAGCAAGGGGTTGGCTGCCAGCCTGATGGAGAAGCCCCTCTGCGGTGGAGGGAAGGCTCTGCCCGAAGCTGCCGTGCCTTGCATGGGGCAGGGCACCAGCCTTCCCACCATGGATGCTGGCACTGTGGGAGCTGCCCCCAACCAGTTCCACCCTCTCTACATGCCGGGTCTGGAATACCCGAATTCAGCTGCTCGTTATCACATCAACCCGGGGCTGCAAGGGTTCGGCCCAGTGATGGGTGGGAAGCCTCCCCCAGTGTCCCACCCGCAGCATTTTCCTGCGCGGGGCTTCCAGCCAAGCAGTGCCCATCCCGGGGTCTTCCCTCGCTATCGGCCCCACCAGGGCATGCCCTACCCCTACCAGCCCCAGCCTCAACCTTCTTACCACCACTACCAGCGGCCACCCTACTACGCCTGTCCGCAGGGCTACTCGGACTGGCAGAGGCCTCTTCACCCCCAGGCCAGCCCCAGCGGCCACCCGCCCCTGGCCAGACCCCCTTTCTCTGACCGGGGGAATGTGAGCAGCTTGCAGGGCTGCGAGGCACTGAGTGCTGCCCTGGCTTCTCCCAACCGCATGGACGTAGCGAGTGCCAAAGAGGTTTCTCCAAGCGACGGGCAGGATCTGGGGCCTGAAGATGAGAAGTCTGAGGAATCCCAGGAGCGGCCGGAGAGTCCCAAAGAGTTCCTAGATTTGGACAACCACAACGCAGCCACGAAGAGGCAAAGCTCGGTGGCAGCAGGAGAGTTTCTCTATGGAGCTCCCCCACCTCACCTGGGTTCGGGAATGGGATTTGGGCCATCAGCTTTCCCTCCCCACGGGATGATGCTGCAGACTGGCTCTCCCTACACATCCCGGCATCCCGCCGGTCATTTCCAGCCCAGGACGTACGGATCACCCATGAATGCCCACCTGTCTCATCATCCAGCCCCTGGCCAAGCTAATGGCCTCTCTCAGGAGGGACCCCTGTACCGCTGCCGGGAGGAGAACATAGGTCACTTTCAGGCCTTGCTGATGGAGCAGAGAGGCAGTGGAGGTGGCATGGGGGGGCCACCCCAGGACTTGTATAGACCATCGGGGTAAGAGCATGTTTTCTGTGAGAAGGTGAGATGGGAGGGAGCGATGCCTGGGTAGCAGCATGTGTTCGGTATCCTTGAAAGGCCCAGACTGAAGTCTCAGGTACTATGAAGGGCTAACAGATGGTTAAACCTTTCTGTGAGCTGCAGAGTCTTAATGCAGCTTTTTAAAACAAGTAATATTAGCTATCATGGAGACCTGTTAGCTTGTCCGTTCCATTCCCACACCAGGGCTTTGTTTTATCTGATGGTATTTTGTTAATGTGTTGTCTGGTGTTGTGCATCTCTTAATCAAAAGGTCTCTGACCATTTTCTTTGCAAGAATTTTGTTGCATCTATTCATAGTGGAGGGAGTAGCTAACTGAAGTGGAAGTTAGTCTTGTTTTGAAGTCTGTTTCAGTGCTTCTGTGTGAGTGGTGCATGTTTGCATTCATCCAGGTAGATGGGGTTTATCCTTGATGTTCATGTGCTAAAACTCTCTCCATTAAACCTGACTACAGAATGCAAATGCATCAGGCTCAAGTTCCTTTCCCGAAGATGCCTACAGCAACCATGTCTCGAGAAGATCTGACGCCACAAAAATCATCAGCGTTGCCTCTGGATCAAGTAAGGGCCACCAAGGAGAGCAGAGCTCAGATGAGAGCCTTTTCTTGCTCTGCCAGTTAAAGGAGTGAAGTATTTGCTAGCAGTGGAAAGCGCTGGAGGAAGCTGGGAAGTGAGCTTACTGATAGGCAGAGGAGCTGGAGATGTCTATTTTGTCATAGTTGACTGTGCTGACTAGTTGACTATCTGTTAGCACAGGTAGTGCCAGCTTTGGAGTAATAGCATGAAATTGTGAGGTTGCTCCTTTCTACAGCTGCTAGTTGAAGGTCTCCAACTCCTCTTTTTCTTCTTCCAGAGCTAGTCTGAGGAAGGAAGGACCTCACGAAGATGAAAGCCACACGTAATTTGGACAAAGGGGAGGAGGGGCAGGCCTTCCTCCCACCCTCCCCTCATCCAAGCAGCATGTAGCTTCCCGGGTCCATGGATCGCAGCATCCCGACGGCGTTAGTGCTGGAATTCCGGAGCTGTGCTGGGCCCCAGCCAATCGGCCGAGCAGCCGGCTTGCCAGCACAGGGCGAGCATGGCCAAACTAGTGGCTTTCTGTGACTGGAGACTGCGTCTCGTTCAGGGTTTGAGGGATTTTGGGGTGGGGAGGGTGGGGGTGGGGGCTGGAACTTTCATTGACTGCTAAACTCAGGTATATTTTTCAGGGTGGAAGAGGACGATGATGGAATTTTACTTGTAGTATTAACGTGTGTGTTTTGGAGCTGGATCCAGTTTACAGAATTTAACCTGTTGCCTTTTTAAATAAATTTCTGTTGTTGGTGAATGTATTGTACATAATGGGGGAGGGGGTGGGCCCAGCTTGTAGTGGGCTTAGCACTGGAGGAATCTGTTTACAATCATATCACACTGAAGTCTTTCAGGATAGGGTGAGGGTCTGGGGGAGCGGGGAGAGGTCAGGGAACATGCGATGAATGACTTGCTGTCCTTTGCAGCTGTGACACCGCCCGATAGTTGTTAGGCTGAATATCAGGAATTGCTCAGGAGCGTAACGTGTCCTCCTTTTTCTCTTCTCCTCTTCCTCCTTCACTCTCACCCCTGCCTCTGCCCCTCCAGATCCAGGGCCTGAGTGCACTTCCAGCTCCTGTCATCATGGGGGAACAAGGAAACCAGGACCAGGAATTGAAACCAGCACAGGACGCTCACAGAATTGTCCCTTCTGCTAGCGTAGTACCCTTCTCCCTGCCTTTCTCGTAGGAGTAGTTTGTACTCAAGGAAACAAGAAAGGGCCCAGTTGGTCACCTTGGACTTATTTTGGTGAAACCAGTGCCTGCAGACTGTGGAGCAGCACCTACCCCATGGAACAAGTGTTGTACAGGGCTGTATTCCCTGCTGACAAGGAGGGGAACTGCATCCCTCCTTAGTTTCTCTGTCCTTTGCTATATTTACCTACGGGCAGCAGCAAAGCAGAAAGTAAGCTGAGATCCCTGACATCTCGGTTGCCTGTGGAAGAGCATGAGGTTGGTTTGATGGAGCAGTTTGCTACAGTGTGAGCTGTTTGTTGGCCTGAGGAGTTGGGTTTGCTTACAGCAAGTAGCAGGTGATTCAGCAAGCACTGATTTGAAATCTGGAGTTGATGGAATGGCTCAGGCAGTAAGAGACAAGAGAGCTGTGTGCTTGAATGGAGTCTGTTCTTCTCCATCTTTGGTGCTGTAGTAGCATGTACCACAGGCTGGTGGCAACTTCCCTCCAAGTCAATACACAGCTTGTAGGGACTCTTCACCAGCAGTGGCACTGCACAGAGGAACCCCTGTGCCCCAGACTTTGGCCAGATGCTGAAGTTCAAGTGTAGGTTTGACAAGTTGCTTAGAAATCTCATCAGCAGGTAGGTATCCACATAAACTATGTTAAAACTAACATAGGTGAATGTTTTTGGCAGAGCTGGAGTAAAGCCAGGTAGAGTTGCTACACTGCAAGTCTGGGCAGAAAGATCTGGATCACAGCCTCAGTATGGGCTGCAGTTGGCATTGAAGGGACAGTAGTGTAATTAGGATGTGCCATTGTGCCTGCCAAATTGTGGTAGCAGAGGTGAGCGTGTGAGGACAGAACAGCATGCCCCAGAGTCTACAGTACCAGCCAGGGAAGGGTTCCTGGCTTCAGGTTTCTGGAGAATTTTTCTGCCTGTGTTGCCATTTCAGATGGTGCCGTCACCCATAGTAGCTGCGTTGCATCAGCATGCATGGCCACACCGAGCCTAACAGGAGTTAGGACTTCTTCCTGCTGGTCCCACAGGTGTGTTTATGAAACTGCTCCTTACTGAGTGCTTCAGCCAGCCTGTGGCCTGCAGCTGCTCTCTCTGTTCTGGCTCCTCCCCAGAGGAAGACTTTGGTATGAGAATGAGTGTAAGTGTAACCACTGTTCAGTTCAGCGAGCTTAGGACAAATGAAGAAGCAATTGCTTCTCTTTTTAAGGCTGTCTTTAGTTTTCGTAGTTAATTTTCATTAAAAATGGAGGCTCTGTAAAGTCTAACTTAGAGCAAAGTATTTGAAATGCTGGGAACATGAATGCGTCTTCTGCAAACAACCCTTGTTGTACTTCAGCCTGTGTCTTCGGCATCAAGGATGGTTACCCAGATACTTGAAGTGCCTTTGAGCTTATGGAGAACTTCATGGAATAGGAGGTTTTAGATGGTATAAAAAAAGCCAAAGCACTCTTGATCTTCAGCTGGAACTGGCACTGAGAACACGGGGGTCACAGCATCTGAATGGGTGCCGACCCTAGGTCAAAACAGGAGGAATAAGGCAAGGATTGCTTGTGGTCTGCCTGCAGAGAAGGTAATGGAGAGTTAGGCAGTGATAGATAGCCCTAGGATCCTATATGGAGTATGAGGCGGGCTGTCCCTTACCTGGCAGGGTTGAGTGGGTTTCTGAGTAAATGGCTGTGGATTGGTAGTTGGTAATTCTGATGAAAGTGACTAACAGAAGTTAGTTGCTACTGGGGGGACACGTGGTTTGTATTAGAAAAGTGCTGATGTAGCACAGAGGGAACAATGGCTGGACTACAGGGATATCTTAGGGACAGGGCCAAGTGTTGCTTGTGGAACCTTAGTTCTGAGTTTCCAGACTTTGAAATACTTTGCTCAGTAATGTTTGTGGGTTGTGCTTGGATTGGATTCTATTTTTGTTGTTGTTGTTGTTTTGTGATGATATCTAAGCACACCACCCCTTTCTCCCCCCAAAATCAGAGTTTTATCTCGCTGGGTACAATCTGAACAAATAACTGAAAATTTGCACCTCCCAGAGACCGGGAGCAGTTAGTGGGGTGGGACAACAGCAAAAGTGCACAGAGAGAAGCAGAGAATGAAATTTTCATTGTTTCTGGTCTCCCACCTATGCTGTGTGGGCTGGTTCGTAGATACTGTTAAAGGGACAGATTTAACGAGGGATTTAGAATAGATTAAACCAGCAGCTCTTTAGGTACAAGCTGAGGTTGTTTTCCTTGAGTTGGTGTACAGTGCTGAAGAAAAGTAGCTGCATTTTTTAAAATAGCCTTTGATTATTGTATTCATGTCACTCGAAAGACTTTTCAGCAGAGTACAGGAAAATTCTGGAATCTGATGAGAACCTCTTTCTCATCCTCTGCAGTGCTGTAGTACAGTATATTGCCGAGTGAACCTTTTTCAGAAGGCATATTGGGCAAGTGACTTTGCAAAGTTTCCTGTAGGTATTATTTTTTTCATATGAAATACGTGTTTGGTAATTATAGATGTAGGTCACTCTCAAAGTAATGCCTCCTGTTTATTTCCTCTCTTTTCCCGCATGGAGGAATTCAGTTCTGTACTTCTGCTTTAAACACGCTTCCATGTCAGATGCCATTCTGTCAGACTGCCTTTCTGCTGCCATCTGTCACATGGCAACAAAGTGTAACAGAATATTGGTGAGAGGGTTCAACTGCCATATCACCAACATTCAACTCTGGTATCGTGGGCCAGCAGAATAAAATAGGAGGCATTACTTTCATAGCAGCCCTTGTAGGTGTCGAACGAGATTGCATAATAGAACAAACACAATGCTGAGCATGCCAAAATCTCCTAATGCTCTTGTGGTACAAGTGGTACATAATGCTCAGTCCCATTCTAAATGCAGTTGTATCATCTTTGACTCTGGGAACTTTTGGCATCTCCAGCACCATGGGGCCCTAGCAATTGAACCAAGTATTTTGGGAAGATCAGTAGCTGAGGGTTTGCAGGGATCTGAGCCCTGTCCAGAGCAGAAGTTTGCAGTCTTTAAAATGCCATGGTGTGACCAAACGTGCGGTGGCAAGCCACAGTACCAGGCTGCAATGAAAAGGACAAAAGAGGAAAGCAAATTTGAAGTTTCAAGGCCTGGCTGGTTTGATCTATGACTTAAAAGTACACGAAGACACTTTTCTTGGAATGGCTTCTAGTTCTTTCTCATCTGCTGAATGCCTTTCCCATGCAGAATTCTGAAGCAAATCTCCTGTGTGTATTTTTGTACGTGTGGTTTCTTGGGGTCTTGGAGAGCTATCAGCTTCTTGATGTCTTATCTGAAAGCTCATCACGGGGGCTGTCTCTCATTCTGCTGACTGAGGCAGCTTCTCTTTCTTTACAGAACACTTCTCCATTTAAGATGAAAGTATAATGAGAGAACGACCTGCATTTGTCTGCTCCACTGATGGCTGTCAGCTTTCTGTGCATTCTGCACTTATATGCAGTGTCTGAGAGACCATGGGCTCTTTGTAGTTTTAATGCTGATAGCTTAGTGTCCACTTGGGCTTTTCCTCCTTGTTCTGCAGCAGTGGAGATACGGCACAGCTCTTCCTCTTTCTAAAATGTGGATGTCAGAGGAGGGTGCATGCAGGAGAGAGCCATGACTGCATCCAGCAGTGAAAAGGGAGACGAGAGAATAATTAGGGCTAATTAGGGCACTGGGATTGTCACCAGCTCCACAAAGTCTCTCTATCCATTGCTTTTGTTTGTTTGGGAAAAACGTGGCTTGCTGGCAGAAGAGCAGTAATTGGGAAATCAGCACCTGATTAGAAGTGGAACTGACCATGGGCAGTTTCCTCAGTGTGGGCAATGTTGGGCCAGGGGCTGCCAGGGACTCTTTGGGCCTTCCACTCCACACAGGGCAAGTTGAAGTTGTGCAGCAGCATCCTCCTGTCCCAAGGCAGCCAAGCAGCTGCAGGAACCAGGGCGTGGGCTTTTGCTTTGTGTCATGCACCAGTGCTTCCCTTCTCCTTGCTACCTAGTTTTCAAGCTCCTTCTGTCTGTGCTTCACCATTGCTGTCAGATGCAGAGACAGCAGCTTGCTGTCCGTGGAGGGG